GCATCATATAAACTATTTAAAATATAACTTAGCTAGAATTTATTCTATAAACTGAACTGTTACGGAGATTCCTATCCTCCGATTTAACGAATGACAAGTGAGCAAGTGTTTATCTTTTAGACGTTATTCGAGATATTTATCCAGAAAAGAATTTTGCCCTTCTCCGACTGTATCCTACGTTCGAGGAACATCGAGAATGACGGAGCAACTCGAGGCGTGTTTTACGGTAGCCAAGGTTGCACCGAACGAATTCAGTTGCACAATGATGCAGCTCTCGGAAATCAGTTCACTGGCACGGCTGTAGAAAGGTACACGCGAGTCGTGTCTGCGATTATTAGCTTTACCTTAACCAGTTACTCGGTGCACGATAGAGGATACCAAGGTTGCAGAGTAACCGTGTCGTTTCCATGTGTTTTACAAATGACGGATTTGACGCTTCCTTGTTTCATAAGGATGATCCTTATATGGTTATTTCAAGACTACTTGGTGATTCAGTGCTGAACTGGTAACGATTATTCGCGTTATTCAAAAGTAACGGTGATACCTTATGCATTTCGCGTAATGACAATAGCACTAACTTCCTTCATTTGATTTTTAAGAAGAACATCGAACTAATATGCCAACCGAAACGAAGTCCGTCATGAAAAACGTGGAAATTAAGCAACTCATTTTTTCCATACTAATTTTAGTCCAAGTTAACCCTAAAAATTAAATTACACCAGTACGAGAAAAAAATAATTCAAGTCTGAAAGGATTAATTTGCACACCTATTTCTATTTCTTTCGAAATATTCGAGCCGGGACTCGTTACGCGCCTCGTGTTGACGAGGCGAGAATAACAAGAGGTCCCTGTCACACTATCGCGATATTCGAGAGACAACCGTGATCGAGGTCCTAGTTAAAATTTCACTCGTTGAAAACGAGAGTGTCCCCCGTTCGATTAACGAACGGCAACTGTTTAATAACGGTTTTTCGAGGCGCAGTTTAGGCTTATTTCCCAATTGATGCACTTGACGCGCGATGCGTATGCAGTTAAATCAGCCAATCTATAGCGCCACTCAAACCGTTTTTAACAAGATATTTCCGTATTGTCGCGTTAACGCACGCACACACGTACGCGAAAGCGTCTCGACCCGCCCCTGTCCGGCCATGTCAGCGCTAAATGAACCATCAGGGCCGCCATAAATCCTCGGACTATCAGATGAGTAGCCACAGACTTGCCTGTCCCGGATATAACGAGGGACCACCGCCCAGCGTAATGGAAGCACTCTCTGTCGACGCTCGAAAGATACCTACCAGATTGGACCACGGTCCCTGACCAGCTGGACGAACTAACTCCACCTGATGCCAGACCCAACGTTACGGGATTCCTCTGAGAGACAATTTCTCTAATTTCAGCCGGTCATCCGGCCGAGAATCCTACGATTCTTGTAACAGCGACTCTCCCTGGAAATGTCACCAGCTACCCCATCGTACATCAAACAAACTCAGTGGATCGAGATAAGGTTGCAGGGATGCTATAATTGGAGAATGATCGCAACTTTTGTTCCAGCAAAAGTCATCGTATAACCAAACAAAACTCGATATTTAATTATCCATTGAATATGTTACCGTGTAAATTGTTTAAAAATACAGGATGTGGCTATCTCTTTGCCCAGTTATCAACACAAGAGTTAACCTAGATGCAATAGACACTATCTCTTGTTCTCGTCACTACTTAAACTATCGAATGATAAATTTGTCTCTTTTGCTTCGCCTCTTTTAAAAATTATTCACCCTAGTTTCCATCCAAGATGTCCATTAGGTCTATTTCGCACCTAGGTAAGCTCATCGAGGATACATACGTGTCCCCGATATAAAATGACCTGGGCAGCCATCGAGGTGGACGATAAGTCACATCTTCGGCGAAATCTGTCTAAGAAGCTCGTCCTGGCCAAGGACGGATAAAGGCGGAGAACATTGTTAATTACAGGACCCTGCTGCGGTATCGACGAGGCTGCCGTAAGAGTAACTCGACCGAGTGGCCGGCAGTAAAGATGGCATCGTGCACACTAACGAGTAACAAGTGGCGTGACGTTTCAGTTAGCCTTTACTTTGCGATGTGTGCGCCAGACTGAGAAGAAGATATCGGTATGCCACGACCGGCTACCTATCGCCTCACCTTCGGGGGCTAATTAACGCTGAGATTCATTATCGACACCTCGTTGCTTTGGCCAGTCACTGTCTTAATTTAAAGTTAAACATTTTCCGTCAATTTGACCCCAGCCACGTGAATTTCGCCTCGAGAACTCATGAAATTTCTAAAATAACGAACGCCACACTTTGCTGTGAAATATGTAGCAAATAAAATGATTATAAGATGAAATCGTTCGTTTTATAAGCTTCATCGAGCTGTGAAATATTTCCCTAGTGGCTTTCCAGTTTGAAAGAAAAATGAGAAAATCGTCAGTTTGGAAACGACGAGTAGCGAGAACGGCTGGGGAACGAGAGTCTAGTCATTATGCAAAATAGAAATTTGTTCGGGACGCGAATAACAAATGGTCGTCAGTCGAAGCAATCATTTGTAAGGCACAGCTTACTTTGCATGTATGCATTTGCGCCCCTGCATTAAGTTAGTTACGCTTAAATGCAAATTGATGTGTTAATCGATCTGCTCCGACTTTGGAACTCTGTGTATAATGAATCTCCGCGGAAGATCGAGCGTGACGAAAAACCGAACGCCGCGTCATCGTTCTCACGTTCAACGCATGCGAGATTTTCTTTTTATACTAATGCAAATCTTGTTTAAAACTCAGTACGTTTTTTCTTGGATGATAGCATAGTGTTGCGAGATTTATTACTACTAGCTTCGTAATTCGTGTTTAGAAGAGAAAATTGTGAAGAGTATAATCTTATAAAAACTTAATTACTCTTCTGCTATTCAAATTAATAGGTGAAAAGGTAATCTCGTTCGTTTTATAATATTTCTCCACTTTTCTGACGTAGTCATTACACCGTCACTGAAAAATTTCTAATGTTTTTTTTCATTAAATATTGACATAGTCTGCGGTACGAACTTATGGGATGGCCTAATATTTGTTTTAATTCATTATTTTTCTCTTCTTTCAAAGATAAGACGATATTATAATGAGGATTCTGAACACAAAGATACTCAGAGTATTCGAAAAGAAATGCACAGCATAATTCCTTACAACGTAACATTATTTAGGATTATTTACGGTCGTTCCATGCCAAATTTACAGCGAGAATTGTGAATAAAGTTCAGTTATTTCACCGATACAACCGACGTTTTATTACATTGTTCGTAAAATGATGGGAACCCCTAGAGCATCCACTCAAGATTCTATGGCATAACAGTACCAGAAGGTAGGTGTTCACCTGAGATCGATGCTGAATTTCTGCCCCAGGCTGATCGACGAACTCGTCACAGTAGATTTGACTCGATCGTGACCAACACTCGAGCCGGTAGTAACTTTCGATTCTCATACTTATTTATGCTCGAAAATCGAAACGTCCTCTTTCGATTGCTCGAATCGAATTTGAAACGAAATGGAATTGACGTATGGTGAACGTAACCCTTTCTTAGGCAACTTCTTTATTAGGGAAAACAGTGCCTGATAGAATTTCGATGACATTCTGCCACGTTAGAGCGATTTATATTTTAAAAGTTTTGAATTTTTATTTTTGAAACTAAGCATCGGATGAATAAACTAAATAAAAATAAATTAAAAGATTCTTATGCCCATCTTTAACCAATCTAAATTATTACTCAGAATAGTTATAATTTCAAGTAATAGATACAAATATGTATCATGTTTTGATCGTAAAGTATAATACACATATATTAGATATAACAACGTATGATTTAAAATAATTACTTACTTCCTCAATTCGACTTACAATTACAATCACCTTGAAGTATGTTGAAAGGTTATTGACAAATCTGAAACAAAGAAACGATTGTCGTCAGTTTTAATTTTCAAGATATAATTACTTCAAATGTGACAATAAGTGTAATAAGGATTTACGACTTCGCAGGCGTGAGGTTACGACACGTGTGAACATTGGGTTGCCTATTGCTAGGGGCACTTTAGTAAAAATGTGTAAATAATTGATAATTACAGTTTTACATAATGACCTAAATTTCTTTCACATAATAAATGTTAAAAAATAAATTGATAATACGTTAAAATTATTGAACGCCCTGCGTAGACTTTCTGTTTTACAGAGATGAAAGAACCGGTTGCATACTATGCACGCAATCAAATATATAATGTGATGGAAGGATGTAATATTACTACAAAAATGATATTTTCTTAGATTATATTTTGCGTTCTAGCGATAAATATTCCGTATTATTAGAAATGATAAATGACTGGTATTGTATAGTATCATTGAATATTTGAAACCAATAGTCATCAGCCTCCGTGGCGCAATCGGCTAGCGCGTTCGGCTGTTAACCGAAAGGTTGGTGGTTCGAGCCCACCCGGGGGCGTTTATTTTTTCTTTATAAATAATTGTAATTATTTTAATCCATGAAATAATTGCAATTATTTTGCGATAAAATTGTTTTGTTGAAGAATGTAATGAAGATACTTTACAAAATTTCTTAAGTTAAAGAATTCGAAAGAAATGAAAATGTTCATCGATTTAACCTCTTCGCGCCCTTGACTACATATGTGGACATTTAGTCTTTTATTTAAATTTAATTTAAATTAAGAAACTTTTCTTACCAATTCGAATGAAATCCAACGTTTGTATTTATTCAAATTATACGCGAATTTTGGCAATATATGTATTATTACTTAAGTTCAATTATTTATTGAGCACCATTTTACACTTATTCTGTTCACAGAAAAATATAAACTACACACTTCTAAGCAATTTTCAAATAAACAAATATTTGATTAAAGTACTCCCTCCATTTGAACTTGACAAGTGACGCATCCAAATTGAAGTAAACCGGATATCGAACGCCCAGCGAGAACGATGTATCGAACAGAATCGAAATTCTCGACTGTGCTGCTTACCAAAGATTAAAGGCAATTGTGAGTGGTTGATGAAGATTTTTCTTTTATCGTTTTTCTCTTCGATACGTAGTAGTTTTTTTTTTTTGTAGAATATTAGTGACGTTTAAATTGTTTCAAAATGACAGACGATAAAACGGAATTCGTAAGTATATTGGACAATGCGTTGGTAATTCGCATTATGTACATATAACCTCACTTTTTTGTATCAATATATTCTGTACTGTACTTCTATTCTGAATTGTATTCGTGTCCATTTATACTTGTAGGATTGGGGAAACGAAAAACTTCAACGTGCTCAAAAAACGGTAGACGATTCGCCTTATGATTTGGAAGCATGGAGCATCCTTATCCGTGAAGCACAGAACAGGCCTATCACTGAAGTAAGACCAGTGTTTGAGAAGCTCGTTTCTGTGTTTCCTTCGGCTGGTCGTTATTGGAAAATTTATATCGAACAAGAGGTAACTTCTGTCACCATTGATTAAATCATATTTGTTGTCCATAGTACAAATACAAAATGTTCAAAAAAACATTTTAATGAATGAAATCCACCGCATTGAAAGTTTGAAAGAATGTTTACAATAATGGAGAATGGAAGTTTATTGTGTAATTTTTATGGCTGTTTCAGATGAAAATGCGCAACTTTGAAAAGGTGGAAAAGGTATGTTAACATTAGTTGTCTGAGTTTCAAAATTTAACGAATACACTTAATACATTGCCAAACTTCTAGTCATATGTACTGTTTAAGTTGTTCATTTGAGGTACAAACAGTTCCCATTATTGATAATAGCTGAAGACTATTGGGTGAATTGTTCCTTTTGTAGAGACTTATACTTATATGCATGTTTATAACTTAATGGAGAGTGGTTATACTTCCAATAGCCTTTATATATATGGTAGGAAAATTTTTAACATAACATTGATATATTAAAAAGTCTACTCTGGTTTTTCTAGTTTAATAGGTTTACACGTTACAATGACAGGTTATTATTAATTTGTTGTGATAAAATATTATCATATAATGTGATTCTAAGCACTTTGCATATTATATAAGGTGAATAAAAACAATACTTCACCATAAGCAAATATTTCATTGATTAATGATTGCTCTGTTGATATATTTGGGAGGTTGTTTTCTTCGTTGAATAATATAATTTCTTAAACAATATAACATGGATCTAATATATGTAGTTCAAGAAATTTAAAAAAATGATTTATTATTAACATAAATCAACTTATGAAGACAACTTCCTGAATGAAACAGCCTTATATTCCTTCCTGCAACACATTCTTCATTGTGCTTGAATTATTTTACTTGCCAGACAATAAAATTCATATTTCATTATGTGTATAGCTTTTGTTACATATAAAACAAAATAAAATAATTATAAATAAATATTCAATGCAAAAGTAGTGGCAATATTTATGCAGATCTTTACATAATAGTCTAGAGCAGTGTTTCTCAAGCTCCACTTTCTTATTTAACCAGGGAAGAGAAAAAAAATGTACTACCTTTCATTACATTTTGTAAAAGCAGAATTATATGAACAATCGTAAGAACTGAAATTTAATGAGATACGCGATAGTGCTTCTCAAAAATTAAATGGGGGTAATACTCATACTAAGCACAAGCATATCCATTCTTTTTGTTTGCATTAACAGAACTTGAAAGATTAAATATGATAGCAGTGGTTTACAAGAAAAATGTGTTTTGAAATGGTGTTTAAGCAAATCGTTTATAAAGAAATGCTAATTTTTTAATGTTCTCTATTGAAGAATTCTCTTAATAAAAATTAAATATTACAGGAACCATTTGTCTTATTTCATGATACAATGTGCTTTTTCCCTTCTAAGTACTCACAGACCTCAATTTGAGAAATGCTAGTCTAGAGAAAATTTTGATAGTATACATATTTGCCTTCCAAATAAACTTTGAGTATTACATAACATACCTTCCCCTTGAACAATATTTGAGAAATATTCTCAGATATTGTGAAACTATGTAGAGGTAGCACAAGGTGATAATACATAAACATATATTTTTAAAATTATTGTACATAGAATACGTAGCTAATCATTTACAGGATAGCTTTAGTACTTTATCACCTTGTGTTGCTTCGTTCTGTCTAAATTTTTTTGTCATGTTTTGGGATCATTCATTTCTCGATCCCACATAGGTCAAACATAATTATGTTATCAACCCCAACTGCAAAAAATAAATAAACTTTTTCATTTTATGGGGTTTATTTTATGTTACCTTTATAATCTCATGTCTAAAAAGTTCCTCTCTGAATTATTAAACCACATGTTTATGCAATAAACCATACTCAATTGATGCATTGGTGCATTATTATTTCTCCCATTATATACATACAATATTGTAGTAGTGATTGTATTAAAAATTTGCATTAATAAATTATTGAATTTTTACTTCCTGAATTTTGATGTGATTCTTATTGGTATCATTGATGATGTTTAAATATGTGTTTAAAAAAGACTTGCCTGTATGGGTAAGTAAGGTAGTAGATATGTTTTTTTTGTGACCACATTTGAATGGACTTCACGTGGACGTTATATTGTTTCCCTACATTGCCTCTAAAGTACTTCTTTTCTCTGACAGCTTTTCCAAAGGTGCCTCATGAAAATCTTAAATATTGAGTTGTGGAAACTTTACCTTTCTTATGTCAAAGAAACAAAAGCCAGTCTAGCAACATATAAGTAAGTATTTACATCTTTGAGGAAATTTGTGGTAACTGGTTGGACTTGGATCCATCAACACAAGTAAATAAAAAATCATATACTCGTAGGGAAAAAATGGCACAAGCATATGATTTTGCATTGGATAAGATTGGAATGGATATACATTCCTACAGTATTTGGAATGACTATGTCATGTTCTTAAAAAGCGTCGAGGCTGTTGGCTCGTATGCCGAGAATCAAAAAATTAGCGCCGTTCGCAAGGTAATGATATATGTTCGGAAGTATATTTCAGTGAACTTTATTTGGCCATGTATTTATGTCATTTAATTATAGGTATATCAACGTGGTGTTGTCAATCCTATGATAAACATGGAACAATTATGGAAAGATTACATGGCATTTGAGCAAAATATTAATCCAATAATTGCAGAGAAAATGGCAATTGAGCGAAGTAGAGACTATATGAACGCAAGACGCGTCGCTAAAGAATTGGAAGCTGTAACAAGAGGATTAAATCGAAGTGCTCCTAGTGTTCCACCAACTGGTCACCCAGATGAAGTTAAACAGGTAGGTATTCTATGAATCATTGTAAGTATGCAACAGAAACAAATATGCCAATACTAGAGTTACTACTTTTGTATAATATAGGTTGAATTGTGGAAAAAGTACATCGCGTGGGAACGTAGTAATCCCTTAAGAACAGAAGATACTTCTTTAGTTGCGCGGAGAGTGATGTTTGCTATCGAACAGTGTTTACTATGCTTGGGTCACCATCCTGCAGTATGGCATCAAGCTGCGCATTTTCTAGAACTTAGTTCGAAAATATTAACGGAAAAGGGAGACGTGAACGCTGCGAAAAATTTAAGCGATGAAGCCGCTACCATGTTTGAAAGGGCAACAAGCACATTGTTATCAAAGAATATGTTACTATATTTTGCACATGCAGATTTCGAAGAAGGAAGAGTAAAATACGAGAAAGTTCATCAAATATATCAAAAGTTCCTTGATATACCCGACATTGATCCTACTTTAGTTAGTATTATTTTCTGATAATATTGGCTTTGTATTTTTTTACTGATTTTAATGTCACTAAATAATGTTTTTTGTTATAGGCATTCGTACAATACATGAAATTTGCTAGACGCGCAGAAGGTATAAAATCTGCTAGAACAGTTTTTAAAAGAGCTAGGGAGGATCCAAGATGTAAACATCACGTATACGTGGCAGCTGCATTAATGGAATATTACTGTACCAAGGATAAAAATATTGCATTCCGGATATTTGAACTTGGTTTGAAGAAATTCGGAGATAACCCTGATTATATACTTTGTTATATTGATTACTTGTCACATTTAAATGGTAAGATATATACTGATGCTTTCGAATTTGTATTGTTCTATCACTACACTTTATTATCTTTTGCAGAGGATAATAACACAAGAGTTTTGTTTGAAAGAGTTCTGTCCTCGGGTAGTTTAGAACCCGAAAAATCAGTGTATGTAATCGAAATATTTACTTATTTATGATCTTATTGATAAAGATATATTTATGAACTGGAGACTCGTTCTTGCATTTAATATTACAAAATTTTATTTCAGTGACATTTGGAATCGATTTTTAGAATTTGAATCTAACATCGGAGATTTAGCCAGTATTGTTAAAGTTGAAAAGCGACGGAGTGCTGTATTAGAAAAGGTATTATAACATTAAACATTGAACTTATAGTTTATACAATTTTTGTATAGGTTATAATATTATTTGTATTTTACTATCCTTTAGATTAAAGAATTTGAAGGCAAGGAAACTGCTCAGCTAGTAGATAGATATAAATTTTTGGACTTGTACCCATGTACTCCTATGGAGTTACGGTCTATCGGGTATATGGAAGTATCTAGCGTTACTAGAAATACAGCTGGTGCGTTGCCACGAATTCCTGATCCAGAGGAAGCTATTGCATCTTTACCGAGGCCCGACTTATCACAAATGATTCCTTATAAACCGAAAGTAAATCCACTACCGGGAGAGCACCCAGTACCAGGTGAGTATCTATTAATGTATTTTATATTTACTATCAAGTAAAATAAATTACAGTCATATACTGGTTCTCTTTTATTTCAGGCGGTTCTTTCCCATTACCACCAGCGGCGGCACAATTATGTACTATGCTCCCCCCACCAGGTTGCTTCAGAGGACCATTCGTGGCCGTCGACTTGCTCATGGACGTTTTTAATCGAATTCAATTACCTGACCATGGTAACATTTTTCTACTTTCGCATATTTATTTTAAATCTGTGTACAATTAACAAAATGATCGGAGATTGTGTTAGATGTGGCACAACAGAGGTTATGTCTCTTTCCAGCTCCTTTACCGATAGCAGATAATGGATGCGACACAAAATTGTTCGACCTCGCGAAATCCGTGCATTGGATTGTCGATGAAACCAATGACGGAGTGAGTATCGGATCGAAACGTAGAAGAACGCGTCTAGGAGGCGACGACAGCGAAGAAGAAGACTTACCACCACCACCCGCAAATGACATATACCGCCAAAGACAACAAAAACGAGTAAAGTGAACACAAAATGACATAATTTGCAGAAACTACCCATCATCTCCATGTATTCTCGAGAAACTTGATACATGTTATCACATATATTTTTACATTTTTCGTTTGTTCCGGAAGGAGGACGTTTTCCGACGGAACAAACCTATTATTATTGAGAAACGTACGTTACGTATATAAGCGATTACTAAATTCCTTATGTGACACTGCGCACGATATTTTGAGTACTATGTACTCAGAAATCCTATCTTTACATTGTTGGTTTCACCTTTGTTACGATGTGTTCATCATTCACACGCGAAATATCGAATCATAATCGAAACAAGGATTAAATTGAGAATGTTCAATAAATAAATTTAATTGCATCGTTACCGATATTGCTGTACACTATAAATTAATGTAAGTATAAGATCGAAATTTAATTTTTACACCACCGCTTACGACGGTTATATCTAATGTATAAGTATCCGGTTAGACTTACGAACCTGTTGCTGCAAATATTTACGAATCACGGTTTGGCACACTTTTGTCAAATTTGAATGATCATGTATTATTGTGACTAAATTGTATAATATGAATTGTATTATTTTGATTATTTTGTACGCGATATTAATAAACGCAATCTATTATTTTCGTTCGTAGAACGATCTACACACACACACAGAGAATCACAAATATTTTCCTCGTTCTGTTGTTTATTTCAGTATTTCTATATATTTTTTAGCAATATGTATATATATTTCTTTGGAACCAATTAAATCAGTTGCACCCTTCGATCAATATTTTTTGGAATATTCGAACGTCTTATCGGTGAAAGACATACTGAAAATAACTTCAGAAAACTGTTTCATCTCAATGCATTTTTCCAACGTGTTGTATATCTATGTCGATCTGTATAATTCGATGTACAGGACCAATAAATGATGAGCATCCTATGGTAACGATTCTTTCAATCGAATTTCAATTGTCCCCGATTTTTTTCAGCAATTCGTGCAGTCCAATCATCGAATAACGTAAAAGTAGTATGCGAGCCAATGCGAATGTTTCGAGGCATTTGTGAAGTTAAATAGTTCGTCATCGTAGTTGGTCCAATGCAAGTCGGAGTTTGTTAGCAGGTGTAACTGCTCGATAAGGGTGCAATTAAACTTTGATCGCCATCCCCAGTCGAGTGGCTGGTAACGGCCCCATTGGGTTGCGAGCTGTGAAAATAGTTGTCCGTCGCTAGAATTGTTTTGAAAACTTTAACGCCGCCTGAAATCTGCATACGTCGATGTAACTTTCGTCCGCTGAATCCACGAGCACTGAGCAAAAAGCCATTTACACCGAAACACAGTGCACGACATGCGACTGATTTCTAATTTATATGCGTAGAATGAAATCGGTTTAAGTCGCAGTAGGTACACGGTACGAGCGGGATTATCTAGGAAGGTATTAAGTAAACAAACTGGAACGACTGCGTGGATGTATGAATCTTCTCGTGGATTGTAATCACACATACAGAGCAGTGTTTTCCAAGGTAGAGAACCCCCTTCAGGTAGGGCATCTTACAATCCAATAGCGGGATGATAGATCATTTTTAATGGAGAAAAATGTGGCTAACTAAACTTCTATATATTTTATTAACTTTAAATTTAATTTGTTTCGCGGAGAGGATAATACCACAAATAAATTCCTACAACTGTTAAACTTTGAATGTATACTAATAGGAATATATACATTTTTAGTTATCCATATTTTTCATGACTAGCAATTTTATAAATAAATATTGTAACAATAACTAATCAGTATAAATACATTCGACATGTGAATAATACTTAATAATTTTTTTAAAGATATTCTCACACGCTCTCTGTAAATTACAAAGCACCCACTACTTTGAAAAACACCAGTCTCGAGTCTAGAAATGTGAAAGACTAAATCGAAAAATATTCCTCACGTGTAAACGATTTCAGCTGGAAAATGATACATTGAATTACGTAGACAAGGTATGATTAGTTGTAATACACCTTTGAGGAAGACAAATGACGAGTAACTGCCGGTATTCCTCCATAATCTAACGCCACAACGATACGAAACGTTCGCTGTAGAAGCACTGGCAGTCCGGAGGAATCTCTATTACACGGGCATAAATCCTGAAACGTTTAGTGTGTAATTGTGGCATAGTTCTACACTCATCTATCTTAGACGAAGATGCCTAGCATTTGTCCGCTTCTCAAACTGGCTAAACCAGCGACATTCCTCCTCAATGACCAAGGTACACCTTGTACAGAGATATCGACATTATCTAGAATAATTTGCATACTGAAGAAACAATTTTCAGACGAAAGAGTCTCTGTTCCTTTGATCAGAAACACATACAAATTGCAAGGAACGATTCCTATTTCAAGAACAAATTTATCTTTCAAATTATAGCAAATTCTTTGCAATAAATTGTATGCAATAAATAAAGAGAAGAATCGCTCTTTAGCTGTTGATCTCCCGAGTTCTTAGAGATTGACAAGACAAAACAAAAATTGGTAGCTTCATCTAAATAAAAAACGAATATAAGTAATTTTCTAATTCAACCCTATTTAATCGAGGGAACAAATACGAATAATTTAAAATAATAATTCAGAATTAATACATATACCTGGATGAACGTACATTTGATCTAATATTAAGTAAAGTAAAGTAAAGTGTGTCAGCTACAGTTTTCATAGGAAACAGTAGGCTGTTTCTCATTTGAAATCTACTAATGCCGTGGCAGTTCTGCGGAAATTCTCACGTCCACCTGAACCCATGGATCCAGGTGTTTCAATTCCGATTCAATAATGCGCTGCCACGGCACTTAAATGCCTAACGTTATTCTCTATCTCGTATTCTAAAACGCCTATGTTGCCGCCAGAATGATTACCATTTGCCAAAGAAAATGGTCTCGTGACATACAATTGATCCTGAACTTTTGCTCGCAAATAATTGCGAAAGTCCAATCTAAATTCAAGTTGAAGCTTAACAAGCAAAAGTTGGAAAGGAAAATGAATATTTAAATAACCAAACAAATTGTCGAGTATTGTTCACAATTCTAAAATTACCATTTTATTTATCGATTTATTTCAGGAGATAGAAACGTAAATAAAAAATGACGGATGCAATACGACCGCACAAAATGCGAAAAGTAATTGGATGTGAATGAAACTTTGTATACAGGAGTTTAAAAAAAAAAATGTATTTGTATGCATGTAGAAAAAAATGTTCTCTTTTACCAACGCTACTTGTAATTAAATTATGGAAACGCGACATTTCCACGAATTAACTGGTGGAACGATAAGAACCTTGTCCGTAAACGGATTACAATCCGTTTACAATCCGTGTAAAAATTAAATTAATTGCGCGAGGCAAGAACGCCGAATGGAAAAAGCAGGTTCACGCGAGATTTAATAGGAGATACTCGAAACCAGGCAATAAAGTAATAGAAACGGAGGAATTAATTGCGAACAAATTACGAGAACAGAGGATAGCACCAAACGGTCTTTGAACTAGTATTTAATTACGAAAGGCCTTTGTAACCTTTGACGGAACCGATGTACTTTCAAAGATTCGAGTGCAGTTGCGTATAGCAAAACGAAAGTCGGTTTGTTTGGAAAGGAAGGTAATGGTACTCGTGTTTGCACGAACGATAAAACGCGATAGAGGTAATAACGACGTTCGTTCTCTGAACTTCTACGTGATGCCAAGGCAAGTTGCTTCCTTTGATATTTTATCAAATATTTCTTTATATTATCGGGTTGAGAAACAAAATTTTCCATTCGATAACGATGGCTTTTGGAAATATTACATTCTATTTACATTGATACATTCAAAGATGCAAAGTAAAAGATTAAATATATTCCATGCCATTTGCGTCTGACTAAAAATCGAAGTTCTAAAGCCTATATAGCATACACGCATAACTTTGAAAAGTAAAATGAAACTCGAAGATGCACGCTATGAACCGATCGTTTTCACGTTTGAACCAAGTTCTATTTGCCAAGGTCGAACGATCGAAACATAGATCCCTTCGTTCTATCGCGCCGGACTAACGAAGATTTTAGAAACTACCCTCACCATTAATTCATACGAGCGAGAAAATTTAGGGCGACGTTCAACGGCAACCGCCTGGGACGCAACTTGGCGGGGTCTTTGAAACTTTGGTTCTATCTCGGAGGAAGACAAATGACAAGAACCGAAAGGAGCCCCTGGAACCGGTGGCTCGCCTTTCATAGAACACAAACGCATAATTCTCCCACTTCGGCAAGAACGAACTACCGCGAGATAGCGTAAGAGTAATTTCTTCGGCAAATCGATAAAAAAAAAAAAAGAACGATGGGAAGGGCGGAGAGTCACTTTCAGGGCCGCCGTGAACCGAATACCTTGGAGTACTTCGTCGTCGAATAAATCAACGATTGCGTTCCGACGTAAATGATTTTTATCTGCGGAGTGGAAGACGACGACGTGAAAACACTGGAAGCGGTGGAAACTTTCCTGACAACAGGAATCGATGTTATCGAACATTGTTTTAAGACGCGGAAAATATTTTATTTTCAAGAAAAATACTGCTGCGATAATGCTAAGATTGACATTTTGTGACTCATTATTATGCTATCAAAAGATTTCAATTATCATCATTTTTATTTCAAAGAAGTGGATAAAATCTAAATGTAATTCCTGTTCCACATAGGTGGTGACTAAACAATACAGATATTTATTCGGTCTATGTTCCCGCGAATATTGTGCAAAATGCAAAAGTTTTGGAATATTCAGAAAAATTTTAATACGTTTCGTTCAACCTACATGTTGCTACTCACAAATGAAACTCACTCACAGTGAAATAAAATGTGGAGGATGTAACATAAAATAGACATAGAATAAATATGAAATGTAGCATTTTCCTCGATTTGATTTAATAATTTCACCTGTCCATTTTTTATTGTATTTTTAAACATTGAAATTTGAACTAGGTCGAAAAGTCGAAACGAACGAAATGAAAATTGTCCTAAATATTATTCTAACCGTAGATCTCATAGTCTCAAAATTCAAAAAGGCAAAGAAATGCAGTTGTTGCAAGTTTGCTTTGCGCCCTGCGCAAACTCACGTTTAGGTGAAATGGTTGTTACACGTCGATACGGAAGATGATTGTATTTCCGACAACGGAGCTCAGAGATCCATCACTTACCGACGGAAGTGGTTTCAAAACTTTCGTATATGTACAGAGGGTATAGTATCGTTAGGCGACAACGGTGAATGCGATAGAAAGACTTGTCGATGGTAAATGGTACGAAACAATTTCATTTCAATATTCCTCTCTTGTATATATCCCTTCTAATAAAGTTATCAGAATCGTATTAGTTGTAACAAGAGCTATATTTTATATTATCAGTTCTCATTTCATATGCATTACATTTCATTGCATTAAGAACTGCAACCTTGAGGATCGTGGATTCGAATCCCCGTGTCTTACTTTTCGGTTAGACTCCTACAGTGTTCAAACAAATCGTATACGAACGATCGATTCTATATTTGATTGGCTTCTTATTTTCAATTTGTTTGTAGAAAATATTGTTTGTAAATTTCAATTTCTCATGCTGCAGTGCGCGTTAATATTTCATGAAGCGATTTTAATTAATTTTCAGTTAATTACCGTAATAGAGATCAATTGAATCATTCATGAAGATCCCATGTATTACTTTGCGAACCATTTTTCTCTTCAAATATATTGTACAACATTCACTCGGCGCGTAACATATTTGTTGAAATATTTCTTGAATTTGTTTTGTATTTCAGTTTCCAGCAATGTTTCGCAAAAGTTTTTGTACAACCTTTAATTGCAATTTATTTCTCTTTTGTTGGATCACATGTCCAATAACGTCATGTGTAGAATCGTCTAATTCTTTGTTAGTAA